GAGGCAGCGCCGGTACTGCTTTCCCCCAGCTGGCAGCCCCCTGGTGCAGGCCGCGCGCGCGTACGCCAGGCCGGTGCGGAGAAGGAGTCAAGGTGAGTGGGCGCGGCGGGCCCTGGCCCCGCGGGAGGCTCTGGGGGCGGGGGTGGTTCTTGCCGAGCAGCCGGTCGCCCCTCGCGTGCTTGGTGGCGTGCGTGCCCTGATGCCCGCGGGCTTGGCTTGGGGCCTGAACCCGGGGCAGGAGGCAGGACCCGGTTTCCGCTCCCCACAGCGGGAAGCGCAGCCCCAGTTCCCCTTTTGGCTCAGGACTCGCTTCCCTTTTCGCTGGAGCGGGATCTGTGTGGCTGTCGTGGTGCCCCCAGCACAGGTTCTTATGCGCTGTTTCTCTGCAGAGCTCCCCAGCCACTTGGATGATATTCCTCCTACCATGCTGAGGAAAGAGTATGCCGGCCTCCCCATAATAGACAAGTATGTTGGGCGCAGCAGGGAGGGGGCGCCTGATCCCCCCGTACGCGTTGATCACTAAAGACCTGTAGCCGCGGAAGCAGGGGCCGTTGCGCAGCTTCGCGCTTCCCGAGTGCTTCGGGGCCGTTGACTCTGCAGCCCGGCAAAGATCTGCAGAACTGTTTTGCAAGTCACGTTTGCAGAAGTGGCCACTGATAGTAGGTGCATTGGTTCTCAGTGGCTTGAGCTGAGGTGGTTTGGAGCCTGATTTTGAGATTCCACAGCTTCCACTAGTATCCGGTAAATCTCTGATTTTTCTGGTGGACTCTAGGAGTTGGGCGCTGAGGTATTTCAAAGCGGGCTCCCTCGTTTCATGGTCGCTTCTGAAATATAGGTCCAAGACTGCTGCATTCTCAAGGCTCAATCCCAGAGCTGCCCCGGAGCGGCCCACGTGGGGCCCCACCAACTTCAGTGGGACTCTGTGCAGATCTGAGTTGAAGGACTGAGTCCAAATGTAAATCATTTTGTCTGTGGCTGTTTGCTTGGGGCTAACCTTTAGCACCGAGCTTGCTTGTCATGTGGTTTTTGAACGCTACAAGACAAGTGCTCCATGGTGGATGGAAACTAGGGCTGTGCGAAACGGCACCGTTCTGTTTTGCCTTGTGTTTCGACGGTTCAAGGGAACAGTGTTTCGTGTCGAATTTCATTTTGAGTCGAAACAGCTGTTCTGTTCCATTCTATCAAAACAGAAAGGCTGTTTTGACGCTGTTTCGAGTTTTGCTGGGGATGGGGAGTCAGCCCAGCTGGGATGGCTTCCCATCCCTAGCATTAGATCGCCCCAGGGGCGGGAGGCAGCAATCTAGCATGGGGCACCGGGAAGCAGGTCAGCTGGGCTGCCTCCCCACCTGCGTGATCTAGCATGGGGATGGGAAGGCAGCCCAGCTGGACTGAATTCCCATCCCCAGCCTATAGTCAAAATGTTTTGACTTTAAACATTTCAGCCAGCCTCACTTTGTTTCAAGGTTATTTCGATGGCCGTTGTTTCGTTCAGATTTGGTGTTTTGACCTCGAAATTGGTCAAAACAGTGTTGGAACGAAACGGCCAGTGAAATTTCACATAGCCCTAATTGAACCCATATATTCCCAACTTCCAGGAATGACAAACTGGTGCTGACTATATTTGTTCTCTGCTGTGCTTCCTCTTATGAATGCAAGAGAGACTTTATGGCTTGATCAGCTCTTCACTGTAAATTTGTAGAGTGGCTTAGTCTTGCTGAATGATCCTTTTCAAGGAGCTCATTTGATCTAAAAATCTAAGTTAGCCCTCAGTGTCAGAAGTTAAATAAATGGTCTTTTGTGCTGTATAACTGAATCTGGGACTTCTCTGCAGGGCTGATGATGTAGTGAAAAAAATACTTTCGCTGGAAATGGCTGGTCAGGTTAGTCCCTCTCCACCTTTGTGAACACTGGGAGTCTGGGTGACAGTATTTATGTAGGACCTGCTTTTTGATATATGTGATTTTGCCAAGTGACTTCTGGTCTTGTAATTAGCCACCCACTGTTGTGAAATTTACCGGCAAGACACTTTTTAAAAATAGGTCTGTGCACTGTGCGGTTTTTGTGTGTACATTTTTTGTATTGTTTAGTGCATGTGTACTGACACATCTGGTCAAAATTAAATGAAAAAAGGAGGTTTTAAACTTTTTTTTTTTTTTATCTTTCAAATGCCCAGAAAATATAGTTGCTCCTTCAAAAAGTCAGGATAAGGTGAGGCCTGGCCCTAGCCACAAGAGTGCCTTCCATCTTAGTTTGAAAAGATGCCACAAGTAAAGGCCACAAACAGGTCCACAGAGCTCTGTAACAGCCTGCCACCATCTTGCACGTGCCACGCTGGACGAGCTGTGAGCACTTTCCTGTGGCCATGGTCTCTCCTGTGTTAGTATTTGTGTAGCACTAAGAATTGCCTCCATCCCTCGGAAGAGAAGAGAAGCTAATCCCATCTTCCCTGGATATCTGAGGACTGAGATTGCCAGAGTCTGCAGCGGGCTCATTTGGTCCTGGAATGATGTCTGTATCTGGGCCTGTCCACAATGGCTATGGAGGAGTCTAGCTGCCAGCTCAGACTCTCCTCTCCACTCTGGGATTTTTAGAAAAAGGGCAAGGGCAGATGGGATTTTTAAAAAGGCCTTTCCGGCTTTTACTGCACATGGTGGCTGCTGTGCTCGTGTCTGCACTGCCTCCTGCCTGATGGCTGCCTTTCCCAGCATTTGTGCTCCACTGTGACACTTGTGCAGTGAACAAAGCCAGTTGGCCTTTCCCTGGGTGTGCTGGGAAGTAATGGCAGGGGAGGGGAGAGAGAGAGAGATGAAGAGCCTTATACCTATAATAATCCCAGGGACAGTACTGGAATGAATAAATGCCTTGCCTTCTGTCTGCCCAGAGAGAGAAGGTGAAGATCAAGATGGAGCAGTTAGCAGAGAAGGTCAGGAGGGCTCCTAATGACAATGGTTCCTGCGAGGTACAAGGTAAGGCAGATGAAATCCCTAGAGGAGACTGCTCTCCTCTGCCTTTAACTGGGTGCTCATTCAGTGGAGGCTCCTGGGAGGACTAGGAGGGCAGCCCTTGGGAGAGCATAGCATGAGGGAGGCCCTGAGGGTCCCCCCCAGGGCCTTGATGGGGGGCACATAGCATAGCATGCTGCCAGGCCTGCAACTCTGTTGAGCCTGCTCCAGTGGTGCCTTCTGGGAAGGAGACCCTTGGCGGCTCTGTCCAGCAGTTGCAGGGAGGGTGACTCCTCCCTGCTGTGGATGCATTCTTTCCCAGCAGTCGCTCTCTTCTGGTTTTGCTTTTGCTGTTTCATTTCTGCAACGGTGCTTTCCAAGTGAAGCAATCGCTGTGGAATAGGCGTGTGAGACAAGCCATGCCAAAAGACCTCTGCTGAGTTTGGAAATCAGCTTCCCCTTGCCCACATGCTAAGTGTTTCCTGAAATGCCAAAGGGCGCGCACAGGCCAGGGTTTGGCTGCTACCTGATGTTTTGGGTAATGTTACATTGAATGAACCCTTTTCATGGGGCAGAGAGAGAGATGAACCTCTTCAAACATTTGGTTCTGTGTGAAAGCTCTGCAAAATCTTCTACAAGTTCCTACCCATTTCTCCATCTTCATAGATTCATAGACATTAGGGTCAGAAGGGACCTCAGGAGATCATCAAGTCCAACCCCCTGCCCTAGGCAGGAAAGAGCTCTGGGATCAGATGACCCCAGCCAGGTGCTTGTCCAGTCTCCTCTTGAAGACCCCCCAGGTAGGGGAGAGCACCACCTCCCTTGGAAGCCCATTCCAGATTCTGGCAACCCTTACTGTGAAGAAGTTCTTTCTAATGTCCAATTTAAATCTGCTGTCCATCAATTTGTGGCTATTGTTTCTAGTTACTCCAGGGGGTGTCCTAGTAAATAGAGCATCTCCTATTCCATGCTGCCCTCCCCTGATGAGTTTATGGGCAGCCACAAGATCATCTCTCAGCCTTCTCTTACGAAGGCTGAAGAGATCTAGGTCCCTCAGTCTCTCCTCATAGGGTCTTGCCTGCAGGCCTCTGACCATACAAGTGGCCCTCCTTTCAACCCTCTCAAGATTCTCTGCATCCCTCTTGAAGTGCAGCACCCAAAACTGGATGCAGTTCAAGGGTAAGATTTGCCTTATGAGGCAGGTCTGAGGGTTGGCAAAAGTGCCCTGAGAACAGCACCATGAGCTTGCTGGCCGTTTGTGTTCCAAGTGCTTCCCCGACAAATGTCCACTATGATCCTTCCAGGTTAGGACACCTGAAGGCTTCTCGTGGTGCATCCACCCCAGAAAGGCATAGAATCATAAAGCAGCCAGGTCACCTCTAGTCCAGCCCCCTACTCAAGGCAAGATTGTCCCCAGTGCAGCTGGCCCAGTCGAATGTCCTAACCTGCTTCTGAAACTTCCAAAGATGGAACATCCACCAGCCTGTTCCAGCACTGAACACCCTCTGCATGAAAAACTCTTTCCTAATCACCAACCTAAGTTTTGTAGGCCAAGGCTAAGACAATTGTGTGGGAGTGGAGTGGGAAGAAAGCCTGTATTGCCACTGTCTGCATTGCTGCTCGCTGTGTTGCATCTGGCTGGATAGCTAAAGGCCTTCAGTCCTGAGGGCTGGCAGTCTGGCATCTTTCCCCAGTGCTGATAAGTCCTACAGAAGTAAATGTAGCCATAAATCATTACGAGCAGAGCAGGGCCCGTCCTTTCCCGGTAAAATGTAAACTGTGCAGAATGAACTTGAGACCATTGATACTTAAGTGAGGCAGGGGAAGCCTTTTAGGTGTCAGCACAAGCTCTCGGTTGTTAAAAGACATTTCAGTAGGCAGCAAGAGCATTTGCAGTAACTGTTTTTAGGTGCTATTTGGGTTTATGCTGTTTAATTTTGCAATGTTTGGCTCCATGTAAAAATCTGTGCAGCCAGTATGCGTAGCGTGGGGCCAGGGGTCTGAAGTGACACTAGTGTCCAAACAGTGATGTTTAGTGGCAAACGGTGCATTGTGATGCTTAGGCAGTCTCATTTTACTTTTACAGTTGCATATCTGACGGCCAAGATCCGCAGTTACCAGGAGCACCTCCAGAAACACCCCAAGGTAATCTCCAATGGTGCTCTATCTACAACAGGGGTTTTCAACCTTTTTTAACAAGTATACCCTTTCTGGTGGCGGCAGCCTGACGTGCAGGGGGAGAAGGGGGGGCTCGCACGTGGCCACTGCCTGCATCACTGCTGCGCCCCACTTTCCCATGGCCGGTTGCACGTGTGGCTCTGCAGGCTGCTGACGGGCCTTGTGCCCAGTCAATCTCACACCATCTTTCAGCAGCCTGCAGAGCCACCAGCTGGGCGGTGCCTGTGTGGCCCGCAGAGGGGCACTGCTGCCCTCGTCTCCCCCAGCCCTGTTCCTGTGAGGCAGCGGTGCAGGGTGGTGGATGATAGCGTGGGGTGGTGGGTAGCAGCAGTGGCTGCCATGTGCGAGCCCCCCCACCCCACGTCTGTGCACAGATGGGTGCCACTGCCCTCGCTTGCCGCACCCCTCACCCCATCCCTGCCTACATATACGTACCCCCTATTGCCTCTCCAGGTACCCCTAGGGGTACACATACCCCCAGATCTACAGGGTGGAGACTGGCCTGAAGGGTTTGCACCTTTGCTCAGAATGAGAGTATTTGAACTGAGCTGAGGGATTGTGATTTAGCCTTAAATGTCTGTAGATCCTTCTCCCTTCCAAAGCAAGGAAATGGGTTTTGAGGGTGGGGATTAGTGCTATAGCTCTGAGCTTTCCTGTGCCATCTTGAGGACTCCAAGTTATGGTTCAGTTTTCAAAGACTGATATTTGTCCAGACCCATTGCTGGAGCAGGAGTAGCCAGTGACCAGAAGTTTTTGAGCAAACAGCAAAACTCGATCAGGTTCCAGGCGCAGACAGGCCTCTCCTCTGTGCTGTTTAATGTTCCAACTTCTCTCTAGTCTGACCCAGCAAATCTCCCTACAGCATATCTGAATTACACAAACTCCTATGCGAACAAACTAACCATCAGACACAGGTCACACCAATTTCCAGCTTATGCTCTGTAAAACAAACTGAAATTCTCCTCTGGGGTGTTTGGAAAGGCGCGGTTCATTAGAAGCAGAGTTTCTAGCCAAGAACCTTTTCCTGTTGTCTCTGCCGTCTGGCCATAGCAACCCTTGTTCACATAGGGGAACTTGAAAGGGAGCAGGAAATGAAAATGCACAAACCAAGGTGCAGACTGACACCTTAGCAGGAAGCAGTGCAGAAACCAGTTTGAATGACAGGTACATTAGACTTCCTTGTGACAACCTAAGCCACCTGTAACGTGTAAAGGAAAACTGTGCCTGAACTATTGCTCCTACTCTGGGCTGCTGTGAAGTTTACCAGAGTGAGATTCTAATCTGACTGTAGCTAGCCCATGTCAAACCCTTCGCAGGACACACGGAATCGGCGCGTGATGCTAATGGCCATAGACCAGCAGCAGAAGATGCTCAAGTACCTGCGTTGCACCCGCTATGATATCTTTGAGAACACATGCAAGCAGCTGGGCATTGAGTACACGTTCCCACCACCCTATCACAGGAAAGTGACCAGGTTGTGGCTGGCGAAGAAGGCTTTCTGTCTCAAGGTACAGAGTAGAGGTTTGAAGGCAGCCTGCCTGGGGGATCACGTACACCTAAAGAGGGGAAGAGCTCCTGCCTGGGGGCATAGCAGTACAGATACTACATTTAGGTTTGGAGGAGAGGCCATGGCTCTGTCCTGTTACAAATCTGGCAAAGTGGAACCCAGGTGCTTGGCAAGATTCAGTTCCTTGCCTGTGGCAAAGACTAGGGTTTACGAAGTACAGCTGGGTGGAGGCGTTTCAGCCATTTGCCATGGGCTTTATTTCAGAAGGCACCCCTTCTCTGATCAGCTGCACAGGAGTGCTGACATGCACCAGTAGTTCATGAGGTGGTACCCTCTGAAGTAGATGTGATCCAGGGTAAGGGAACAGTCTGAATTTATCAGTGTTATCCAGGGTTTCCTGATCTTCCCTGGGATAAGTCAAAGCAGAAAGGAAAACCAGCTTTACACAGCCATGAACTGAAAAGTAAGCACTGAATCATCAACCCAGCAGAACCAAGCTGGAAGGACAGAAGCATGAAACTGAGTGCACACGTGGGTGCTCTGTGTATATAGGCATTAGAAGAGAGCATGTCAGGCTGTGTTGTTGTCACTGGGAGACATGGTGACCATTGTAAACCTGGACATTGGGGAAGAAGTTTTCATTCCTGTAACCTGAAAGTATGATGCTCCCGGTGGGTCAGCTTTGACCAGGGATATGTAACATTGTCTCTTTCCTCCTGTCACCTGACCATGCTGCTTTTTTGCAGGTTTTTGAAGAGGTGCAGAAGCTGAAAGCACCAGAGAGACTAAAGCAGAGACGAAAGTGGCAGGAAAAAGCCAGGGCTGCAAGGGAGCAAGCGCAGCAGAGGGATGGAACCCCGGTGTAGCCAGCAGTCTGACCTGGGGGGGGGGTGAAAAGTGACTGTTCTCTCCAAAAACAATAAAGTATTTTAAAGCCTTTAAAGTCTTAATGTGTGCTCTGTACTGTGTGTGAATGGACAGAAAATTGTTCTTTAATTTCACCTACTGACTTAGCAAAACTCAAAGGATTTGACATGTGACAGGCAGGGGGGGGGGTGACGTATTTGCTTTGTCAGCATAATCTTAGCTCTGACCCCAAATACTGTCATGTCATCAGTACTTGCAAAATATTTGTGACCCAAGTTTTTTTTCCAGAAGAAATTTGTGAGGGCATTAGGTCAACAATACATGAATCGGCAATTCCAATAATCAAATGCAAAGCTACACATGTGGCTTCCGTTTTAATTAATACTTTTCCTGGGAATTTAATTATTCAACATCACTTTTCAAAACCTGGTGATTCTTAGCTCTCTTCCCAAATGCTTTAATACTGATGGGCAACTAAGTCGATTGCTGATCTATCTTACAAAAGGAATATATCTGAATACTGACGTCAACAATAAATACACATTTAAAAAAAAAATCCTGACCCAGTTCATGGGTGTGCATTGTGATGAAATATCCATTTTGGTAAAACAAACATTGGGAGTGGTGAAATGAAGTGTGTCCTTAATTATGAATTCTTCTTAGGCGCGTGGGTGTTGTAACGGATGCAATGCTTCCCATGTCACTGCTGTTACAGAACACACTTGTCCACATTCCTGGCATGTGATCTTGCAAGGCGACCACAAGTGACCATTTGGGAAGTATTTAACCTAGCTGGTAATGATGGGTCTGGGCCTAACAGTTTTTGCAGCTCAAAGCAATGATATTTAGAAGCACTTTGGTGTTAAGAGCTGCTTTTTGTTTCTCTCCGCAGAATGTGTGCAAGGGCACGGTGAAACAAGGAAATTGTTGGAAACGTGTAAAACAATGATGAAGGATGGAAGGCGTCAGCAAAATGACTGCACAGAGTGCAGGGCATCAGCCAGAAGAGAGTGAGACTAAGTTTCCAGACAGCTTGGAAAGCAGTTTCTGGCAAACCTAGAAGAATTCAGGGACAAGACTGCAGCTTGGGGTGAGACGTGGGCTCACTAGGGACCAAACAGCCATGCGCATGCTAGAAGCATATCCAGTCTCCATCTCCCACTAAATGCAAGAAGAGGGCATCGGTCAGCAAGGCCATAACTGTGCACCCCGATGTCAAGGGGGATGCTGCTGGAAAATAAGCAATTAAAAGATTTGTTTCCACTTTCTAAAAGATCTTTGAGGTTTTAGCTCCGTTGGCTTGTGACACTTCCGCAGTCCTATCATTGCTGCCTTAAAATCAAGTTCCTCTTTCTAAAACCTTAAATACACGTACCCTCAGCTCTGTAAGAGACTGAGAACAGTGTGTTGAGGTGAGTGAATCTATTTTTTTTTTTTTTACTTCCTTACGTACCTATGTTGCCCACAACATTATTCTTTTAGAGGAATACTTTTATAACAGTCCTCAGCTCAATAAATATTTTGTATATTAATTTATGGTGCACCAGCACTGTTAAAGCTGCTGCTAGAAAATCGCTTTTGATCTGCAGAAGGAAAGCTGTACCAAGGGTTAAGTGAACACATCTCTTCCCATTATGAATAGTCTGAACAGCTTGACTGACACTAGAAAGAAGGCTGAAAATATTTTACCTTCTTGATTTAGTTTGTTAACAAAAAAAATCCCAGTTCAGTAACTGGAGAAACTGTCTAGGATTATCTCCTGTAACAGGCACTGGGATATCTCTAGAAAAGAAAAGTTTGGGTTGGTTGATTTATTTATTTATTTATTTGTTTGCTTGTTTTATTTATTTGTGTTTTCAAATGTTTAACTTCATTTTTAATCTGAATCACTTACATGTAACATACCATATGTGTTTAATTGGTAGGTAAGTGACAGCTGCTGTACCTAGTTGACCAATCTTGCTGGTTCACTAATCCAGACTGCACAAACTCAAAGGTCACTAACACTCTTTTCTCTGCCTTCCTCCATTTGTATAGTAGAAGCTGATGTTTAAGAACAGGCTTTTAATGTGGTTTCTATTGGCAAGCATTCAAATGGTAATTATAGCATTGAGTTCAATCTTATTTTGCCTGTGTACTGTTTTGTTATTTCTGTGGGGAAAAAGAAAGGTTAACTCTCCCTGGCTGGTAACTTAAACTCTATATGTCTGCAACGAAAGAGAACATTTGAAACCAAATTTTGTACCTTCTGCTATATCCATTTAGTTAAGCAACTATACCTTAATTTGCATTTATTCAGATTCATAATTTTCATATTCTAATACAAGTGGTGAAGCATTTCTTGACTCTTTTTTTTCATTTGATCTTTGCCTAGCTGTATTTGGATGGCAACTGGCATTCAGTTAAAATGCACAATAATAATACTCAGTTTCCGTTTTCTTTATTTAAAACATTATCATAAAAATGTCTGCAAATGAAAAAAAAGGAAATATGTGAAAACAACCTGTTTTGCATTTAAAATTACTATGTGAATAAAGGAAACATCTGTAGTCAATGAATTGAATCAGTTACTATGCTGTGCTGAATACAAGTCAATGTTAAATATAAATTTGACCCTGCATTTTCAGGTTCAGCATTAGGATAAACTTTTCCCTGGATGTAATTCCATAACTACAGATAAAGACCTTGAACTGCTATTGCACTTACAGAATTCTGAAGGTGAATCAACCAACCAAAGGGAAAGAACCCAGAGTTAAATGCACTAAAAATGCTAAAATAAAAACTACACGAAAAAAAATTTGATTGGTATTTGTATTGCCTGCACAAAAATACTACAAGGGTCAAGATGTATAACTACACACCATGTAGTTACAGATTGACCCTGTAAGTCAAACGGAAATCTTTTGTTTGTTGGTGTGGGGAATAGTTTAGACTTGGAACAGTACTGCGTTTCTTGTCACCACATGCTTCAGGATGTTATACCCAAGATCTCTGTCACACACCTACATACCATCTAGTCAGCGATCAGAAAATGAGCTTTTTCCTTCCTCAACTCTGTCTGGTTCTCAGCTCTGAATGAGGTAGTCATTGTGCTAGCCAAGTTGAACAAACACAAGTTAGGGCAGGGTAACTCCTTGGATACTAACAGAACAAACTTCTTTTTGCACCTGCAGAAGAGGCTATTTCTGTCAAAAGCTGGTTTAGTAAGTAGTCTCCTGCTGGAACAAGAGTTTATCGGTGATTTCCAGGTCAATGGTTGGACTTCAGAACTTTGGGGCAATTGGGTACTGCTTTTCGTGTTGTTTTGTTTTATATTTGACTTGAATATTTTTAATAGGTATAGTAACTTTAGATCTGAATGTAGTTTACATCATTTCTAACTTAATGTAGCCTTTAAAAAATGCTTTTTATTCACCTTGGCTAGTATACCAATCTTTCATCTGAAGCAGAGAACTGAGTAGCTTGGCTCTTTTACTTGCACCTTTTGATTATTTTTTTTTCTTTGTGACCTGCTGATACATCTTGGCTTTGTTTGCAGCAGTTGTACTCAGCAGCTAGAGCACTCTTCTGAACCATGTCCCAACCTGCAGTCACTCAACAGCCAGGCTCAGTCGCTTCCTCCATCATGTCCCCGACGGGCGACTGGAGCACTGGGAGATATGACTGCTGTGCAGACTGTGGCATCTGTAAGTACTGCGCTCACTACAGATGCTTTTTTTTTTTCCTGAGGCAAGAGGCAGGGTCACCCATGTCAAGTCAGGGGCCACCAGCTGCTAAAGTTCCCCAACCCTCAGGTGGGACTTTGCTGTGGGATACAGCAAAATGGAAAGCATCAGGATGTTCCTGAAAACTAAGGAAGCTGAACAACAGGTGAAGAGCCAGGTATACTGTGCAGAAGAGGGGATGGTGTACTCATTCTGATGACGGTTAAGTGACTACGTCCTTTTGGAAGAGCACTGAGGTTCCCAAGCTATAGGTCATGGGCACTGGTGGTGGCTGGAGGGCTGGCTAGTTGCACATCCCTACCTTTTTTCTAACTGCTTTGTTACACTAGAGCTAGTTAAAAGACTCCAGTTTCTACAAGGGCCTGCAATGACAGCAAACAAGAGAAGAGCTGACCCATGGGACTGCAAGTGGAAAGGGAGAGGGTATGTGGGGGATATGAAAGACAGTCATTATGAAAGACCCTGTGGTATTGCTCCTTTTTTCCTTGTGTTGGGCTTTTGAATCCGTTTCACATCCCTGTTGAACTTCTACTTTATAAACTGGTTTGCTTTGCAGCGGCAGAGCGGAGCAGTGCCTCATCTGCTGCACCCTTCTGTTCACCCTCTTGTTTTGAAGGCTGTCTGGGGCTCCTCTGCCCAACACTGCTGGCATGTTACGTGTCCAAAAAATATGGAGAGAACTGCTTCCTTCCCTGCCTTTTTGGAAGCATGACAGCCCTGAGAACTCACATGCGCCTCTCTTACGGCATCCAGGTAATGCTGCAGCTGGAAAGGTTTCCCTTCTTGAGGTGTGCTGCCTGCTAGGGAAGGGATTAACAGTGTCGCGGGGCAGGGGGGGATCTGGCTCCTGGAGCAGCCAGGGTCTGCTCTGATTGTGAAATGCGGGGAAAACTTGACAGGTCTGAATGAACCGTGGATAAACTTTGCTCAGAAGAGCAGCCCTGGCTAAGAATAAGAATGAGCACGTTTAGACTGAGTCACAGCGCCAGGCCCTAGTTTTATACCCTAGCGTGAAGGGCCAAGGCCAGGCGTGCCAGAGGAAGACGACCCTGTCATGCCACTCAGTGGTTGTCCCTCTGATGATCTCGCACCCTGGTTCTTGCTTCAGAGTGATCTTTTGCCTGCTGAAACTATCACTGCTTGTAACGTAATCCAGAGCCAGGGCTGCGGGCAGGGTGACCTCCAGGCCCTGCCTAACCCTGCCAGGTCGCACGTCGCCCTTGGCCTTTGGCCACAGGCGCGAGAGCCACATTGTAACGTCCCGGCTGCGAAACGCTCCTGGACTCAAAGCCACGTCTGGCTCAACCTTTGCTGGCAAGTGCCATGTTGCACCAAGCGGCACAGCCAGGTGCTGGACGAAAGCCGGTGCTGGACGAAAGCCTGTGCTGTGCTGTGCTGTGCTGTGCTGTGCTGTGCTGTGCTGTGCTGTGCTGTGCTGTGCTGTGCTGTGCTGTGCTGTGCTGTGCTGTGCTGTGCTGTGCTGTGCTGTGCTGTGCTGTGCTGTGCTGTGCTGTGCTGTGCTGTGCTGTGCTGTGCTGTGCTGTGCTGTGCTGTGCTGTGCTGTGCTGTGCTGTGCTGTGCTGTGCTGTGCTGTGCTGTGCTGTGCTGTGCTGTGCTGTGCTGTGCTGTGCTGTGCTGTGCTGTGCTGTGCTGTGCTGTGCTGTGCTGTGCTGTGCTGTGCCCCCGGTCCCAGCCGTGCTCTCTGTCCGCAGGGCACCGTGTGCCGCGACGGCCTGGCCATGTGCTTCTGCGGCCCGTGCGAGCTGTGCCGCATGGCGCGCGAGATGGACCGCCACGGGCAGTTCTGAGGTACCGCACGCCTGAGCCTGCGCGGGGAGGCGGGGGGGAGAAGAGGTTCGGGGGTTCGCTGCACATGCGCAGTGCAGACGGGACACGGTTCTGCGCATGCGCGTACGCCCTCCCCAGGCCTAACTCCTGCCGCGCTTCTCTTGCAGGCCCGGCCCAAGCTGCGCAGACGCCGGAGAAGAGAGGA